TTATTTTTTTAAAGTAAAGCTTGATGTTGTTTTGTTTTTTGTTAGATATACCTTTTCATATAATTTTTAAATTATGGCTAGTTTTCCCTTAGCGAGATACTTAAATTTTGATTATGCGCAAACCCTCATTTTAAAACCAAAATACCTTGATTCTATAATGTATAGAGACGGTAAACGATTTTAAATAAACAAAATTACGAATTAACAACATCACCCAATAACTTTACTTTTTCAAATATAAATTCAAATTCTTTATTTGAATTTATAATACCTCTACATCACCAAAAAATATGCATTCAAAACAACAACAATGTAGATACAAAAAACTCATTAATTCTAGCTCGAAAAATATTCATAACAAAAATCTAAATTTCCAACTAGCGGCAGACGCGGCCACGTATGACAACGTTGTTTCACGCTCCGAAGCAACTCAAACATATTTAAAATGGCTACCGCTGTGATCATACTCGGGCGATATACAAAACAATGCCATTTCAATAGTTTTCCACATAGCCACTGCTCGCTACACTTTCCGAAAACGTATCTTTCATTTCATTGGCTATCGTATGAGCTATTGTTTTGTTTGAACAATATTTTAGCGGATGATCAATTGAACACGATGTGTACTCAGTTTAAATTAATGTTGAAATGAGTATTTGTATTATCTGGTATTGTTTGTGTACCTACATTTTGTGAATAGTTTATGGACAGTTGTCTTTTCATTTGGAAAATAGTCATTTCTTATAATCACGGCGAAATATTCTTAAATACATATGTAGGTATGGACTCTTGTGTTTTGTTATAGTCTGTAAAATAGTAATCCTTTCCAAAATCTAGAGATTTCGAACTGAAGAAAGTGGATCCTAGACTGGTAGCGAATGGAGCCCGTTGTTCTTCATCAATTACACGTAAAAGATCAAAATTTGTATCACTTATACACACACTTTAGTTCGATAGTTTAAGACTAGCACTTGATGAATATTAGGTATATTAGAGCAATCAAGGTCGGATATCCTGGCTGCAATAGGTTACGTACCCAAAGATACATTTGGGTAAAATATGCTAGTTTTCCTAGAATATATTGTTAACACGGCATAACTATAAATCCGACATTTCGTTGATTTCGCTGGCTTTCATTGCGGAACTAGAGATAATAATACTATACCTATTTGACTGCACGGTTGGCGCGGTGGCTGGGCAACTGGCCGCCGCGCAACGTGTCGCGGGTTCGATTCCCGCACGGAACAACTCTTTGTGTGATCCACAGATTGTTGTTCCGGGTCTGGGTGTGATGTGCATGTGAAATTGTATGTTTGTAAACGCACCCACGACACAGGAGAAAATCCTAGTGTGGGGCAACGTATATTTAAAGAAGAAGATAGTTATTATTTTTTTATTTGGAAAAATTACTAAGACATGCGTAGCTGTTTCTAGATCATTTAGTACGCGAAACCAAAATAATCCAAAAATGTTTAGTAACCCTTTTTTACACATTTCTACAAAAAATGTACCAGGGCATCATAGCCGTAAGCAAGTCATCTAAACTAAAGCTAATTCTGATCCCGATTACATAAAACCCAAAACAATCCAGCATAAAAACCCTACTCAAACGGTTACGTCACCAAGCAAAACAATGTCCCATAACTATCTCAGAGTTAACTAGGCGTTAAATATTTGAATACTATTCGTAGTGCCACGATAACTTGGACTAACGCTCCGTTAGAGAGGTCCGCCGATTAACTATTCAGAGGCTTTAAATAGAATCGAAAACGTGCCAAGTCGGCTGTAAGCCCACCATGTCGAGGCGGACGATGCGAGATGTCATATTATATTAATGCCCGCGGCCGTATTGTGGGGGCCATGGGGTTGTCTACTTCAGACGAAGGAAACTTAGTTTACCCGTCATATTCAATTTAATACAATTTAATGCAGTATACGAGCTATGCTAGATGATACAGGTCTGTTACAACCATTATCACAAACTCCTAAAACATCAGTATAAACAAACGTTCTAGAAAAAGCTATCATGAAAATGATTTTTTTACGTGCAATAAATAAACTAGTGCTTGACTGCGATCCCACCTGGTGGTAAGCAGTGATGCAATCGTTGATGGTAAGGCGCACTAGTTTATTAAGAGCCTATTCACTCTTGCCTTGAAGACACCTAGGATATTTTCAAAGTTGTGTGCATTACACGTACGAAAACAAAAGCTAGATTTACATAGCACAAATAAGGTTAAGTAAGGTCGGAGAACCTCGTGATCGAAATAAAATTATTCAAACAACTTTCAAGTAGAAACTTAGTCATTCAAATAACTGTAATCAGATAAAACTACAAACAAACTTAGGTATTCGAATACTCACCCAATGATAACTTGGAAATGAAGTCAAAAACTTCCCTCCTACCGTATGATATTACCTAATTTCGGGCACAAAGTAAGTAATTTGAGTTTATTAGCTGTTTCAAAGGCATAATAATGTTCATCTTTGAGACATTTTGTGTTTTATTCATTCAATTTTTTCTCGTTTATTGAATAAGTACAAAATTGCCGGCTTATCGTGAAGATGAAAATATTCAAGTCAAATAGGTTAATGTTTTTTTTTGCTATTTATGTCGCATTTTTATTAGTTCCATGGGACCTTAAGATGCTTTAAAGGCGATGAAAGGGAGTCTGTTTTTATTTTCGCATTAGAATATTATCTGTGTTTTACGCATTCACCCCATTTCGCCGTGATATAAATATGCGTTCACCATGTTTTGATGCCGTTCTATTGTTTCAGGTGGCACACATTGTTTATCCGGCCCCACAGTTCGTTAAACAATTTATGGGTAATATTAAAATATGAGCATACTGTTAAGAATAACATTGCATCATGGCATAAAATATGTTCAACAGACTCACACACACACAAGCAGCCATGCTCGCAAAGGAAGAGGTGGAGAGCGTGAGACCACGATTTTCCTCATGCCCCATATGCGCGAGTTTGTAGACGGCTCGCAAGGACTCCCCAGAACCTCAAAGACATATCAAACCAAAGAACATTCTGGCACATTGCACATTCATAGATTGACCAATGTTAAGCTTTGGTTAATGATGTACGTACCGTAACCCTACTTGTAATAGGAAGGAACGAAGTGGGTTTAAGTCAGTAGGAATCCCTTTCGCTTCACCCAGGGCGGGAGAAGCATTTTTATGGAATAGAGGGCAAACGAGCGTTTGCTTCACCTGATGGTAAGTAACTGATGTGCGACATGGATACTTGCAACACCAGAAGAGTCACAGGCGCGTTAAGGTAATAAACAGAAAAAGTCAAAAATTAAAAGAAAAAACACATTTTTACTATAACTTTTGTGAGACATACTAAATTAATTATTATGAGCAGCATTTCGCGACACGCGGTGACTGTCGCGCTGCTACTGAGTCGCCGCGTTGCGTGAATATAGGCCTCTAGCATGGCTTAAAACTAGTCGAGTATCTCGTCAAAACAATTAAGTGAGTAAATCGGCATGATATAATATTTTCTTGCACCAAGACCTAAAAAGTTTTCACTGCAACTATAGTGAGAAATAACCGCTGTTAATTACACCTTCATAAACAAATTCTGTAGTAATTACGTAGGTAGAAATTTTTACTTGTAACTGCAAAAGCAGCAATGATATGCCTATTTGACTATTAAAAGAAATATCTATTACAGGCTTCCTGACAGTAATAAAAATATGTAACATAAATGTAAATATGTAATAAGATGAAATATGAAAATAATGTTTTTTTTTTTGTTTTAAAATGTAAACGTTCGATCATGATATTTCGAACAACAAACATTAGCAAAACAATCCTGCAATATCGAATTGAAAATAATTGATAGCAATTATTGTTATTATGGTTTAATTGTTTTCCTGAAAGCTTTCTTTCTCATTATATAAACAGCTTTGGTCGAGTACAGACCTTTAATTAATGTTTTGATTAATATTTATGGTATTTTCTTTCATAAATTACCGAGTTAGAACTGCTTTGGTTTCTCGGCGGTGATTTTCGCGGGGTACTTTGTGTTGATTTTAAACTGGTCATTTTGACTTAATTTCTTATACTTGTCTTCAACATTTTAGTAATTTCAATCTAATATAACATATTCACATCGTGAATAGAATTTAAAATGCTTTTATTTACCGTCGTACCGTGATACCACGGCCTCACAGAAAACCGGCGTGAAATAACCACTGCGTTGTGTTTCGTCGTGTGAGTGAGGTTACCGGAGGCCCAATCCTTCCCCTTCCCCAATCCCTCCTCAATCCCTAAATCTCCAAATCCCTAATCCCTAAAAGGTCGGCAACGCACTCGTAACTCCTCCGTTGCGAGTGTCCATGGGCGGCGCTGATTGCTTACCATCAGGTAATCCGTCTGCTCGTTTGCCGACCTATTACATAAAAAAAAAAATTTAACCCATCTATTTTTTTAGAGAATCAGCAATACAGAAGTGCCATTATATATTGCACAAGTCCATCTTAAGTAGCTTCTTTTCATTTGGCTAGCCCTAAGTTTTTTGATCGCCTCAGCAAGACTATTTTTGGTTCAATATCCGAGAGATTGATTCAATATCCGAGAAAGAAAGCCGGGTAAATATTATCAGTTACTATCAGTCCACAAAATATTTTTCTAAAACTTTGGTAATTCCAACAATACATTCAATTAAGATACAACTTTTTTAAAAGGGAACAATAATCCTTCTTCAAAAAAAAAACATCTTCTCTCCTTGCATAGTCTTTCTAGCCAGTTTTATTCTTTATGTAGAAAGCTACATCGTCCCAGTATCGCCGAAGACCTCCAGAATCCATCCCACATGTTGCATTATAAAGGTAGTATGGTTGGTTAGCAATAAATTTAAAAATGTATGCGCAGCATCGCACACTCCTGTATTTTATTACGTAGAACCCAATTCACTCGATGTATGGATAAGATTTTTATCTAAACATCTTCCCAGGTTTAGAGTTCGTATGGAAATTAGGTAATGTGGTCTAAAATATAAGATTTTGATTGATTAATTTTTGTAAAATGTTTTTGTAGGCATATACATATTCACATGTACTTTTTATTTTTTTGTGACAATGAAATGAATAGAATAGTTTGTATAAGATGCTTGTTGCACTTCAGATATGGTCGATTGTGATTCTATTTTTAAATTAAGCTTCTTGGTAAACTGTTAGATTGCGCCGTCATTTCTTGAAGGAGGTTATCAACCTTCAAAATAAAAGTAACTTAATAATATAGGGTGATCATATTGCTACTATTTGGGGTTACGGGTACAAACAAGGGCAGTTATTTACTTCCGCGCGTCAAGAGAGAAGGCACAGGGTGGTTTCTAGCCAGTAAGAGTAAAAACGAGAAAAGAGGTTAAACCTGGATTGTGACCAATAAGGTGATTCGATTTGTACATAAGTCGCAAGAATAAACTTTATTATATGTACCAAAAAAGTTGAGTAAATGAAACGATATTGTCATAGTCCATGAATCGTGTCGTATACTTATATACCTACTACTTAACGTCTGTCTAACAAAGCCTTCCTGTGGATTTTTTTCTTGTTATGTAGTACGTCAGCTAACGAGCTGACGGATTACCTGATGGTAAGCAATCAGCGCCACCCATGGACACCATGGCAACGGAGTAGTAACGAGTGCGTTGGCGACCTTTTAGGAATTAGGGTTTAGGAGATTTAGGGATTGGGGAAGGATCGGGGGAGGGGAAGGATTGGGCCTCCGGTAACCACACTTACACGGCAAAACACAACGCTGTGGTTGTTTCACGCCGGTTTTCTGTGAAGCCATGGTATCACTCCGGTCGAGCCGACCCATTCTTGCCAAAGCATGGCTCTCACACACTGAATTTTAACATAGAATAACCTTTATGAACTAGTGGTTGATACAGGCCCTTTATCGCCTTCAATGACTTGTGATGTTGCTTCGGAACATTGTAGTTCAAGACTTAAGGCGCTTAATTTATCTTCCTCACGCCCCAGCCACCACAAGACACTCTCTAAGCATCGGAGATCGCGCGGTGTATTAAATTGATTTAAATTATGGGTGTTCTTGTGTTTCGCCGTGTGAGGTTACCGATAGCCCAATCCTTCCACTCATAACTCCTCCATCGGTGGCGCTGCTTGCTTATCATCAGGTAATCCATATGCTCGTTTGCTGTCCTATTACGTAAAAAAGAAAACCGCTGTGAAACAACCACAGCGTTGTGTTACCAAGTGGGTGAGGTTACCGGAGGCCTCATCCCTACCCAACCCTTATGCCTTCAACGCACTTGTAGCTTCTATGATGTTGACGGTCCTGAGTACACGGTGGGTAGCGTTTTGTGCGTACCTCAGAGAGCCATCAAACCTCTACAGATGGGACCCACTAGGACCGGGACCGATGTGGCGATGTCCACCGAGAGTGACAGGTATTTTAAGGTCGACGCCACTTTAAGAAGTTGGCTGTACCTAGTAGCGAAACCTAGTTTAATATTCACGAATGTATCCTGTAAAAAGTTTATTACAGAATCGAGTTGTAACTTTTACGACAGCTGCCATGTTTTGCTATTAAATAAAGCTTAGGTTTTGACTAAATAATACATGAATATGTATAGCGTATGCTAAATGTATGTATACTTGGTAACATTTTGTTAAACCTTTAGTTTAGCGTACGCCGCGCCGACTTTGTGAGCATACTATACTGGCTAGGTAACCGATTGTTCTGCATCGCGTCACAGAACCGAATCTTGGACGAGACTATTCTTTGTGTGATCTTCTTGTAATTTTTTTCCGGGCCTAGTAACGGCAAAGGGTGTGTGTACTTGTTTATAAATTCTGTGTGCAAATAAACTATGCAATTAAACTGATAGAGGAAATAATTTTTATTTTATTCGGCATGTCATCGTGACGTAGTCAAGGTCGTTGTGCCGTTTTGATTTACGTTTTAGTAGCAAAGCTTATTATTAGTGTTTAACATTGCCATAAACCATTTTTTTTCAGAGGTATATGTACTTTCTTTGATTATTTAGACACCACTGACATACGGTGAAGGTAAACATCGTGAGAAAACCTGGACTTATAATTTCTAATAATAAGTTTGAAATCGCCAACCTGCAATGAGCAAGCTTGGTGATTAATGCTCTAACCTTCTCCGTATGAGAAGAGGTCTTTGCTCAGCAGTGGGCACTTGTAGGCTGATGACGAAACCAATCACGTTTCTAACCAGGCCATCATAAAGTAAAATGCATCATATACTGTTGACATCATAAAGACATTATATTGTTTTGTTTTTAATATTATTACCCTGAGTAAAATAGTATTACCATATTACTTTGTTATTTAAGGATTCGCCATTTTAAATTAATTTACCAGTTAATTTATTATTGTGTATTTTTGTAAATTTGTGATTATAGTTATTATTTTGTCTAAATTATGTAATTAATCATTAATATTGCTATTATATTTACCATAATTTTTATACAAGCGGTGTTAACCTACATATAATTAATTGTTTTACAAGTGTAGGATTACATATATCTTGTAAGCTAATGTTAAGGTGTAAACAGTTGTTGGTTAACCTCAAATAAATAAATATACTACACGGTAATAAAAACTTGGTGAGTTATTAAAACCTAACTTAATGTTATTAGACATGTGAGCGATGTTGTCATCCGCGGGTTGACATGTATCCTGTAATTAAGAATGTTTACGTCATGTTAAGGAGCTTGTCTGCCGCGACCGTATCGATTCAAGTCGGCTTTTACACTCAATGTGTACCAGGAGATCAGATATTAAAGGTTGTTTTACAAATGTTTAATATTAAATATTTTAAATTTACACGTACGTTTATTTGCATTCGAATATCGAATTATTGTTATTAAATATTTTTTTATTAAATAATTTCCGGCAGGAATTGTATTTCGTTCAATATTTTAATTTGTGATTGATACTTTTTTCTCATTGTCTCATATTTATAGTTTCATTATTATTGAGCCAACCGCTACATGATTGCATTAAAATGAAATAGGTTCTTCAATATTGAATTATTAATTGATTAAATTACTTACCAACGCAACAACAATCTTCTGTAACCGCAATAAAACGACATTAATTTTCCTCCATGCAAATCTCCACATTGGGAACCAGGAGTCCATCACTCAAGCAGTCAATCAATCTTTGTCAGCTATTCATATTACTTGAATGAACTTACACGCTGTATTGATCCCAAGATACCATGGTTTGCTTATTTACAAATACAATTTGTTCCTATTTCTTTTCCTCGTCCAATCAGGGATACAAAAGGCGCCTAAGGGATTAGATAAAAACGATATCAGGAGTCCATCAAATCTTGGAGTAATAACATCATTTTGGATGGATAAATAATTTGCTGAAGGTCGTGCGCGATCATTATGGCTGGGATGATCTCTTGTAGTTACAACTTAGAGGGAAAGGTCAACCAATAACTGATAGTTTTGGTAATTATTACCTAATTTCTTTTACGATCGAGAATGATTCTAAGAGAAAAATAAAACAGAATTATAAACTAATGCCGTATTATACATTGAAATGTTTAGGTTAATAAAACAATTTACTACAAAGGCTGTTTTTGCCTTGATTTCGCTTAAAATGAATGCATGATGCAAACGATTCAAGTTTGATAAAGTGTGATTAAATGTCACCAGAATTCGATGTAGCTTCCCAGTAAGTAATTTCAATGCTCAAACACCAATAGGTGCTAAATGGTCTTCATTCAATCACGCGTACCAAAGGACCACATATTCAGCTCCACCGCTCACTGTGCAGAGTTGACTTCACTCACAACTCATGTTAATGATAAATTCCAAAGTTAGTAAGTGAACGAGAGCTGTTACTGCGGTAGTAAGCGCATAGCTATCACGTTGAGCGAGAATTAATTACTCGCAACGTGTTTACACATACTGACAAGTAGACACGTGCGGCTGGCATGCGGTGGAAATCGTAGCGGGAGGAAAGTTCGAGAAAAATCACGGGATAAATTACTCGCAAAAATGGGTGAAAACCTGTCTGAATACTCTTTTTCGTTAATTAGCGTTACTGAAAATAAATACTTAAAATTGTGTTTTGCTTTGAGCGCTTATTATAGACTTGTTTTAGACATAATTATGCAAACTTTTATGGCAAACCAGATTATATAAATGTTTTTGCTCAGCCTTTTTCAACATGCATTTTTCCTTTGCTTTTAATTTCCATAAAAGAGAAGCATATTTTTGTCTTTTACGAATTTAACATACCAGACCATCATAAGGACTAGAAGACAATGCGACGAGTCCCACTAGTTAAAAGTTCTTTGCTCAACCTAAATTCTATCCTGTGTATGTGTTTGTGATAAAAAGTACTAGGAGAACATGAAGCGACATGGTTCTGCGATAAAAACGTTCTATTCGGAGTTCTCGACCCGTAAATCGTTGCTAGCGTCCCCCCTTTTCTTCTAATACGCGGTTGGTTTGCGATTCCGTGTTATTGTACCGTTCAGAATGTTTGTATGAATGGGATAAAAATTGCAGTGTTGAGTTCGTGTAAAAATATATTTTTAGTTACCTGTAAAATAGGAAAGAATGAATGCTGTTTGTGCTCAGAGATGCTTTATATTAATGTGTTTGCAATTGTTTAGCTATTCGTTAGTTTCTTTTGTGAGTGCTATTTTTATTAACTGGCATTTGTTATATAGAGTTCAGTTTTTATTCAGAAAATGTGGTCTTTCCGTGTATATAAAGTAGTTTTCTATATTTAAAAGGAATATAATTGTCTGATTGCTTTTTTTGACTGGAAACTTGTAAAACGTGTAGGTACCTCAAAAGACTGATAATACTCTAAAGTCCTTAACTTTGGACTTTTCTTGTATGAAAATAAACGATTACGATTTTTGACAATAATAAAATATTCAAAAAATAATAATGCGTTCGTTTATTAACTTGACGATTAATTTTGCTTATTGAAAATATGAAGTCGTCATAAGTAGCGATCTCATACAAAATTTATAGACTAGTCTCTCTCTGGTCTCGGTTTTGACGTTTCAATACATATTTTTTACACTGATTGATGACAAGCCATTAACAAACCGTATTCAATTAGAATACGGTCTATTCATCACAACGAGAAATAAAACATCGAGAAATTCATTAAATACATTTATTTATCGCCATTAAGAACGTGACACCCAATGACAATATTAATATATGTTACATATATCCATATAATGCAATATTAAACTAACAAACAAATGTATCACAGAATATTTTGATAGTGTTCAAAATTGACCAATATTTATACAACATGGACGATCACTAAGGAAATAAAATTACAGTCACGTGAAAATTAATTATATTACAATACAATTTTAATTACAGTGGGAGAATTAAAAATATTGATGCAACTTAGTTCTAAGTTACCGTACAAGTCCCAACAATGTCACAATATAATCTTGCCAAGTAGACGCCAAGATATTCTGTAGTCCATTAATATTATTCGATTTTTCTTCACCTATTACTCGATTTGGCAAGCATAATGCCTGTAATATAGAAACTCACGTAGGATTTCCTCATTACTTCAAAATATTGCTCAACTATTACATTATAATATTCGAAGTAACGCTAAAATCTATTTGAGTATCCATAACACAGACTCGGAAGACATACACATAATCCTTTTCATAACTTTTCACAGTAAAATACGGTTAAATAAACGGGACTTTTTTACAAAAATATATAAAAATTACAAAGAAAACACAGAAAATTAATGTCGAAATTTCTTTTAGAAAAGCGAGCACTATCAAAGTTTGTGAAAATGTTGCTACATAAAAAATACAGTCGGAAAAAATAACATAT